CTGTAAATATAATCGTAAGTAAAATTGTAACCATACGATTTTCTTTATATTAAAATAAATTTTCTTTTGTCAAACCTCTTTATACATGTTTTAGAAATTTGACTATGAGTAGTTTCCGATCTTCCTTTAAATTCCGGCAAATCTTCCACGATTTGTAGTGTGTTCAAACTTTCTTCCGTTTCTAAATTAAGCATTACCGGAAACTATATTGTACAAAAATGTATCTTGCCATACACCTTAGATTTGTGAAGATTGCTTTTTACTTTCATGTACGCGATAGAATGAATGCATTTTTGTCTATGGTCCCAAATCTCTGATGCAGCAAAATAAAATAAGGTCAAAAGTTATTTTGCTGCGTTTCATGACAAAAAGCTTCACGCACTGGCAAAATTATTTTTTTAAACTGAAATAGTTTCTTGTTTCTGGAAACAATGTGATTCTTCAAATTAGCCTTCACCTGATTTTTATCAACTTGATTTTCCGGTTCTAGAAGATATATTTTAAACCTTTCCTGTTTACATTGGTAAACTCCTATACCACAACGCTATTTAACAGTTGACATTTGTTCGATATGTGGTAATCTCCGACTTCGTCAAAATTCCGCCTGTCTCCCTTAAAGAAACTGAATAAACAAGCAGTTGTCCATACTAAAAGGCTTTCGCAGAATCAAATCCACTCATCAGATCAAAATAACGAGCCCATATGTATGTCTAGTGACCAGGTTCAATTTCGATCATGACGTTGAATGAGTTAGCTCACCTACTGTACATGCTCTAAACCACAAGCGGTGAACTTCAGTGAATCAATAACACAAGAATAACATAGGCCATAGGAACGCTTGAGCTCCACTTTGTAAGGATATAACCCGTAACCCATAATTGTCTTGCAATTAGGACACGATGAGAGAGAGTGTAATACATGCAGTACAAGTCTGCCGAACTTCTAACTAGTTTTCGCGCAAGCACTATCTGCTGCACACTCGAAGGGTTGACCACAGATTTCAACGCGGTCCACCATGTGCTCGTCAGTAGCGTGGTGTAGGCACGGTTACTTGTGCTGTATTATACTGACTTGTAAAGCAACGTTTCCCAGACACAAATTTAAAGATAGCAATAACAGCAGGATTTATTGGATCCATGGCATTC